CAAAAACCTTCAAAGATAAGATATCATTTTCAAGAGAAAATCGAAGTTAAAGTCATATACAAATCAGGACAAATCTCTTGCTCAATCATATAAAAATTCGGTCACAGCCATGWTTTTCCAGTGTGTTTTCCTTATAAATTATKAATGAATTTGATAACTTTTAAGTTAAAGACATGTTTTATTTCAAAAGGAATCTGGTTATGTAACAGAGGTCCACCATGTCAATGGAGAGGGAGAGGATGCAGGCGTAGTTTACTGTGAGATGCAAGCCAGAGAAAACAGCGGTAGAAGTAGAACACACCTTGCTCTTTTAAGAAATCTTTATCCTGGGCATTGTGGCTTAAAGGTAAGATTTTTTATGCAATTTGTGAGATTATGAATTGCCCTTTGTGTTTTGATATTGTTTCTATTGACAAACTTTTAGTCAGAAACTGGAGGTATTATGGAAAACTTAAGAACTACTTGCAGTCATGAAAAGGTACAACATGTACTTCCTATTAAAAACTCATTAATAATTCATGACTATTGATTGATTGATTTGTTGATTGACTGGTTGATTGATCAAATGAGTGTTCATTGTTTTCTCTGTTTAGGTGTGCAACTACCACCGTCAATTCTATCGACCAGAAAATCTTTGTGTCGTCATAACGGGTCTAGTGGATCCAGAAAAAGTGTTTGAAGCCTTAACACCATTTGAGGAAAAAATACTTAACAAGGTTAATAAATTGAATTCGATTAAATCATTCACTGGTAAAATCAGTTTACTTTGATTTACATTTAGTTATGTTTTTGGTAGAAATCTTTGCCAGCTTATGCAAGACCATGGCAAGACCCCATYCCTCCCCTACCTGGAAATGTCAACATTACTGTCCAGTTTCCAACAGAGGATGAATCRTCTGGCATGGTTCTCATTGGTTGYCGTGGTCCAGGGTCTAGTAATCGCYGTGACCTAGCAGCCATTAATGCAATAATGGATTACCTAACCGACACCTCTATTGCGCCACTACAGAAGTACTTAGTGGAAATCCCTGAACCTTACTGCAGTGATGTCAGATATAATATCATTGAACACTCCRAATCATGTTTGTACATCAAAGCTGATAATGTTGAGACTGATAAGCTCGTTGAGACAAAGGATAAGATCGTTGAAATTTTGCAGGGTGTTGCTAACGGGACTGAGGAGATTGACATGGTCCGCATGGAAGCAGTTGTCAATCGACTGATTCTTGATGACAAAGATAAAGTAGAGAATGATCCTCATGATACCTTTGCTGATCTAGTAATCTATGATTTCCTGTATTCACAAGATCACAACCAGTTGGAGAAAAGGACTAAGTTTATYGAGGAGCTTTGCAGTTTGAAGACTGAGCCTGCTGAATACTGGGCTGCCCTCGTTAAGCAGTACTTCATTTCTGCACAAGTTGTTATGGTATATGCTTATTGTTTCAATTAATTATTTGCATATGTTTTCTATTAATTGCCCTAATCCATTTATTTATTATATACATTATTGRTCTATCTATTTATTAATGTTTATTATACTTCAGTTAATTCATGTCCTTGCTGCCAGAATCATCTCGCATTTGTGATTCTCAAGGACAAATCAAGATGCTCTGTCGACTTCAGCTGTWTTCTTTGATATTATAACATCATCCACACTCCATCCACCAATTCAACCACCATTCCATTAATCCATTCCTTTGTTCATTCAATTTTMCATTTCTTCATTCAGTGACACTGTCCAGTCCACTAAGTTGGTTTTATCTCTTAGGTCATTGGTGAGCCAAGTAAACAGTTGATGGAGAGAATGCAAGCAGAGGAAAAGCAAAGAGTTGCTGAACAACAAAAGGCACTTGGTGAAGAAGGTTTAGCCAACAAAGCAAARMGACTTAAGACTGCTACTGATGACAATGAGGTGACTATAAAAGAGCAAAAAATTGTGGTCTTCAAAACAAAAATGTCTCTCCATGTTGTTTATGAATTCTTCAACATATTCCCCATAAATATATACTTTTTAGAGTAACAAGATGTATTTTTTTATTAGGTAGTTTTTAATCTTAACTGGCTTTTAACTCATTTGAGATAAATAAGCAATTTTTGGACTTGAATTGGAGGAAATTTTCACAAAACTACGACTACTTTCGTTTTAAAGCATAGTTAATAGTTAACTATGTTTAAAGTAACAAGTTCTAATTTTGTGAGGTGGTTTTCAATGAGTTTGGCGTGTTTCTTACTTTATCCTCAAAATAGTTGAAAATRCGCGCGTTGACAAAATCATGAGTGGCAYGTCAAAACATCAAACTGGCTTTCAAACTTTCTTGAGATAAATAGATTTTTTTGAAGTCGGAGGAATTCTTCAAAATATTTCGCCAGTTTTCGTTTTAAAGGGACAAGTTCTAATTTTGAACTTATTTTTGAACTTTTTTCGTACGTGAAAGTTTTCTTCGTGCGTGTTTATCAAAACAAGACTTTGAGTGACAGGTCAAAACATCAAACTGGCTTTCAGACTCCTTTCAAATATATAGATTTTTTTCGAGTTGACTTGGAGGAATTTTTCAAAATATTTCGCTTGTTTTCGTTTTAAAGTAACAAGTTCTATAATTTTGTGTGGTGTTTTCAATGAGTTAGGGCGTGTTTTTGAACTTTTTTCGTGAAAGTTTTCTTC